AAAAAATGTAAAAAAATTGCGAAAAAATGTAAAAAATGAATGATCCTATCGGCACAACAAAACCTTTAATTTGGTATATGAAGAGCTAAATTCTCTATGACCAATTTCATCATAATTAGGACATGATTCAACTTTGTGTTACAATGTATGTTTTTTATTGTTAATATTTTTACAGAAAAAAATCTATATTATTCTTTAATTTTTATTTTATTAATCTCGAATCACTTGGTACACATTACCATGCAAATCCGTGGTGAATGAGACGGTAAAGAACTAATACAAGGACATGCATGTCTTTCTCAACCTACTCGCCATATGGCCAAAGGTCGTACGACAGGTTACAATAAATGTATTCTATATTTGATCGCTACGTACTTTTGTTTACTTCATATAAGTGATAAATGGCTTATTTTTGACGACAAAATTTTACAGGATGGTCGCGTTTAATTAAATTTCAATATATTAAAACTATGTAATATATGTATCACGAAAGTATGCCTAAAGATGTACTAATAGTTGGTAACTCTGCAGTGTCGTCATCAGTGTTGTCAGTCTAGTAAAATTGTACTAGATCTGGTAACTTGGTGACTTGTAAAATATATTGTTGACGTCATCATTGTTTGTTGAGTTCATGTTCTCTATTAACTTTTTTTGCTCTTCAATGAACCAAACCAATATAATTCGAAAAATCTGGTACATTTTCTAGACAAATCTGGTACATAACAAAAATATATTCTGGCACAGTGTTGCTAGCCATATGGATTTATTCGTAGATCTACCGATTTTTACGATAATCACCGATTTTCCGATATACGAATATTTTACATTTCGTTTATTTCTGACTTTTATTTTATTGTTTATTGTTAATAGAGCTAATTTAAACTACTATTGTTCTTTTTATTGGTTTTTATTTGCATTTTGCTAAATTTGAATATTTCATTTATTATTTATTATGAAATGCAGCAACAAAAATCGAACGTACATATTTCTACGGATTTTCGTAAACTTGATCTACAGATATTTCCTTTCGAAAGGTTAACAATACTGATTCTTCATCTTCACTTAAACGTGGTAGTTTAATTTCTAACCTAACACATCACAAGCTGGTATTGGAAATTAGAAGAATAGACAGAAAAACTTTACATTTACATTCACGTAGGTATATTTACAGGTCCCATTAAAATGTTAGAATGTTGAGTCTTGTTAAATAATTTTTAATAAGTTGTCATAAATGTTCTTATTGTTTGTTTTTTTATAAATTAACAAAAAAGGAAAAGTTACGGACAATGGCCTGTATCAAATATGTTTTACGTATATAATATGTGTAGGTGTAGGTTTTAATACCCGGTAAAACAGAAAAAAATAATTACTACGAAATTGAAAACAAAAAAAAACCGATAGAGTATGTGTAGGCGTCATTGGTTACCAATGAAACAACCAAAGAAAAAAGACTATTGAACAAGTGAAAGTAAACAGAATCAAAAAGATAATTATCGAAAAACATCAGTCATTGAAACGGAGCCAGAGCGGTTACGTCATTCTTGGTGGCCTAGGTCTGGAGCACCTTATATGGATGGGACGAAGAAGTGGCGGCCGGTCAGCCGCTTCTTTTTCATTAGTGCGAGGCCAAGCGGTAATCTGTAATCTTCTAGTACGTAGTAGGAGAACGTCGAGTCAGTAGAGGTTATAATCGATCATAAATTTTTATCCATTTATATAGTACATAACAACTCAACAGTTACAAATGAATTACATAGAATTACATAGAATAGAAAAAATAAAAAGTTAAAACCGCCAGATGTGACTGAACATGAAAAATAGTAATTTTAAGGAAAAAGCATTCAGTTGAGAGCCTACCGGGCGCGTCTCCGGGTGGTGGATAGGAGAACGGTCAGAGTATCTAGCTAGTGGCAGCTATAAGTAGGGTGAGGGGACTTAAAAACCCCCAAAATCCTTTGCGAAAACTGTCGCCACGAACAAACACCCCAAGTTAAGGCTAAACTCGACCCGTGCCAAGGACTGAATGATACCTGAGTCAAGGTATTGCAAACGGAGCCTCTGGGAGACCAGGTCATTTCCCAAAATATAACGACCTTACTGCGACATGCGGGGCTCTGCCGTAGCGGACTGTTTTTCCCTAGCTACTCGTAGGATCAAATATGAATTCTAAAAACAACAATGAAAAGCAACAAAAGGCAACAGCGTCAATCTCGAAAGGGGATACGTCGAAGGCAACGTCTCTGCCAAAGGCTGAAAAGCTAGCAGAGAGGCGTAAAGTCATCGTCTCCTCCCTGGAAGAGGTAGAACAAATGCCCGAGGACGAGGTACAGTCTGCCCGTCTAGTTGGACACTCAAGAACGAGGCCAAAGGAGCTCTTGAAAACTGGCCTTGACTACACAGCCGCAAAAAGGCAGGTGATCAAGGAAAATTTTCAAAGGGCCCAAACAAAGCCCCAAAAGCCCCTGAGGCTAGAGCGTCAAGAAAAGGCGAAAGAAGCTGTCAAGCAAGGCACAAAAGCTCAAAAACGCCCAAGATCAACAGACGCAACACCGCTGCAAGTCAGCCGACAGGAAGAAGGCCAGGACGGACGAAGTTTCGTTCAAAGAGGCCCTTACCTCAGTGTAGGTTGCAGAGGTAGAAATAGGGTACCCAGAGATCAAAATGAGTCCAGAGAGACTAGGAAAAGTCCAAGACTCGATCTCCTAGGCCCACGACAAAATCTCCACAGAGGGAATACGGGTAAATTTCGCCAAGTGCAGCCACAAGCCAGGTTACCTGGTCGTGACTTGCGCGGACCGAACTAGTGCAGACTGGTTGCGGGACATCGTCACAACCATCCAACCTTGGGAAGGGGCAAACCTGAAAGCGTTGGAAGGTAACGATATCCCTAGGCTACTAGCCTGCACAACATTCATCTCCGAGGAAAGAGCACAAAGGCCCGAAGGGGATAAAATCCTCAAAAGGCTAAAAATAGCCAACCATGGGCTAAATGCACACCTTTGGACGGTGTGGGGGTAAAACCCTATCGGCAAAAGGTCAAACTTGGGCTTTTTCGATGGATCTTGAATCCTTAGAGGAGCTAAAAAAGCTGGACATGTCCCCCTACTATGACCTAGGGAAACTTAAATTCAGAGTCAAAGGAGGACATGACCAAGAACCTGCCGAAAAGGTGAATAACCCATGCACAAGTAGGGAAGAGGAAACCAAAGAGTCCTCTACAGAAGAAGAAACCTTGGCAGAGGACGACGGGGTGAAGTCTTCCCACAACAGGGAAGAGGACACCAACGAGTCCTCTTCAGAGGAAGAAACCTTGGTAGAGGACGACAAGGTGTAGTCTTCCTACAGTGAGGTCAGTCCCCTCAAGAGGCAAGAAGCCTAAGAGGAAACTGTACCTATGGAAATTGGAGAGGCCTCTAAGAAGACAGACAAATGGCCCAGTTCACAGAACTGAACAGATCGATCAGGGTTCTTCAGGTGAACCTCCATCTAGCCAAGGCGGCCACCGCTACAGTATGCAGGAGGTTCGACAAAGAGGGTTTAGATTTGGCCCTCTTGCAAGAACCCTGGTTACATAGCGGGAGGGTAGTAGGCCTAAAACCCAACCAAGGTAAGATTTTGTATAACGAAAGGTCTAAAAGACCACGATCATGTATCATATATAACAATAGGGTAAATTGTGTACTAATACCGATGGTATGCACCGCTGATATTGTTACAGCTCTCCTAACTACGCCGACAGAGGAAGGAACAAAAAGATGGCTAGTCTGTTCTGCATATTTCTCAGGCGAGGAGCTATGTCCCCCGCATATAATAGGCGAAATAGTCTCATATGCGGCAAGGGCTAACCTCCAACTCATTATAGGATGCGACTACAACCGAAAATATCCCTATGGTTATATGCCAGAGTCATAAGGCCGATGATAACCTACGGGTCGGTGGTATGGTGGCCAAAGACTCGACAGTATCTATCAAAATATGCATTTGTTAATCTTTTAATTGAGGTTCAACCATTTTTTAAATATTTTCACATTTAAGAACGACACCAATATGGAAAAAATACCTATGGTTTCATAGTTGACAGGCATTGCCAAGCATTATTCTGATTTTACTATATTGAAATGATTGGAAGGCGTAAAATAAGCCACATAAGAAACGCATGGGATTTTAAGAACACTGATATTAAAGAACTTAGGTCAAACCGAAAATTCTGAATATCAAAACTAAAAGTTTTCAACAAAAAGTTGATGCTGTTCAACACGTTTGCCGAAAAGTAATCACTTTAAGCTCGCTGTTGAAAAATATTAAAGAAATCTAGTGCTTATATTATGACATTGTCTCCGTTTAAACATAAATTATCTTTAAAAAATCAATTCCGGCTTCGAAATTTTCTACAGATCTACGTGATGTTAGTGGCTTCAAATCACAAAAGACGCCTATACATGAATCTGCATGGCCTCTTAGAAAATAACATTAAATAATATAAGTTATCGATCAAAAATTGTTGCGTGACACCGATCATAGTAAATATTCAAATGTGTCTATTGGTTCCCAGACTAATTATTTTTTGCAGCCTTGCCTCTTGCTTGCAAGTCGGTCATTGCGATCGTTGGCGCGCTGTTATCCATTGCTGCTAGCGCGACGTCTATGACTCATTACTATCCGCCAACACGTAAACTGATACCATTTGGATCGCACCAATTCTTTTATTTCGTGAAAAGATTCAAAAAAGAATCTTGATGTGGAACACAAAATCAAATAATCGAGGTACAAAAATTACAAATTTTTCTAAATTAATTGATCCACAAAAAATTGACCTTAGAAAAAATTAATAACACCAACTGTACCAGTTCACTGAAGAATTTTATAATTTCATTTATAAACTTAAAGTAAGAACTATTACCATATATTGCCTTAATTTAGACAGGAAGGACACTGGCGATTAGTGACAAAAACCAAAATATTCCCATGTATTTAATCAAAAAAAATTATACTGCACTTACCGCTTGTTTGCTGCCATCTTGCTTTTTATATTTGGGTTCCACAGGTTCTCTGCCTTTGTATTCAATATATCGTGCTCTTAGGCTTTCTTCCCTTACCATACCGTGATTGGCTTGATTCTTCTCCTTTTTCTTTTTAGGATCTCGGATGAACAGTGATTTAACCTCGAAAAAAAAAAAACCAAAAAAAGTTGTTTTAAACAAACAGCTATTGGAAAAATCAAAATAGGAACAATTTTAGAGTTTTAGAAAGTAGAACCATTTGAATATTTGGAAGTTTTGATTCGACAATAAAGAAGAAACGAAAGAGGATGAATCTTATTACGAGATAAAAAATATAAAAGACAGATAAAAAATAATAAAAACAAAAATATTAAAAATAATTTTAGTTTAATAAAGATTCCCTATTAGTAGATGTTTGAAATTTATTGATTCATTGAAACTATTGATAATAGGAAATGAATGTGACGTATTGATAATAGGTTTAAAAATATGGGTATAGAATTTTTAAAGTAAATAAAATTTTCTTCATATTTCCCATAAAATACAGGGTGTTCCTTTTAAATTAACTCGTTAATTAAATAAAATATTTTACTGTAATGTAATAAAACTTCAAATTGTAAACGCCCCGTATATTTTATGAATATTTTAATGATTCTGATAAAAAGTTACAATATTTTTTAAGAAACTGCAAAAAATTCTTCAATTAATTATTTTGTAATCAAGAGAAATTGATTAATTTCGAGAGCACTATATATATATAGCTTTATATTGGTATTCTAGTCAAAAAGTCAAAGAAAAAAAATTCAAAATTTCAATATTTTAGAAATAAAAGTAAAAATTTTCATTAATACGACCAAATTTTGAGAAATAAAGTACATTTTTTGAGTTATAGTCAAAATTACATGAAAAGTAAAAATATTAAAAAAATAAACTGCAAATTGTAAAAAATAAAGTCAAGATTATCAGAAAAAGTAATTTTAAGAAAATAAATAAAATGATCTCTAAATGTCAAGAAATTAAAGTCAATATTTTGAGAAGGAATAAGGCAATTATAAGTAAAAAATTTTGAAAAAATAAAGTTAAATTTTTGAGTAATTTTCAATATTTTGAAAAATGAGTTCAACATTTTCAAGAAAATAAAGACAATATTTTGAGCCAAATTTTTAAGTCGATGGAAAATTAAAAAAGAATAATGAAATTAAATTAGAACTAAAGGAAGGATATTTTATATTAATAATAATAAAAAAAAACAGCATTGAACTAGATGGTAAGAACATATTTGAAGGAGTGGAAAATTCAATAGTAGTAATATTAATAATAATAGCACTCTCCCTAATTCACTCCCTTACAAGTAAATGTTAACCTTAAAAGCTGAACTTGTCCATGGAAGGGACGACTATTATTATTATTATTTTCCGTGACGCTCCGGGGCGACTTAAAGATGATTGATGGTACCATTTGACCTACAAGTGAAGAATACCCGGAAAATCCAACCTACCATCATCGAGACGGTAATACATGGCGATTTTTATAATCTGGATGTCATATCAACAGTAATTAAATTTCTGCTAATACGCCATCCATCAAATCCTATAACGAACCATGAAAAAAGGGACCCAGGAGAAAGAACAAGATGAGAATGATCAAAGTAGATGGAAAATAATATTAAAAAAAATAAAAGAGACTCATCCAACCAAGATCTTTTAAAAAAACCTAACCAGTCTAGTTACATTTTTGTCCATTTATATAATAAAAAATGTTTATACCTTTTCAAGACTGCTTTTCTTTTCAGGCTTTGGCGGCTTCTTCTCACTTCTCCTAAGCGTATACACCTCAACATCTTTATCGATTCTAGGATCGTAATGAGATCCATCATCGATACTTCTCTCTCGCGGTGCATAATCTTTGGATCTAAACTTCTCCTTATAATCCAAACTTTCAACGTGTCTATACGGATCATCTTCCCTCGAAACAGCGCGATCAGAATCGTAGTCACATCTTCTTCGATGATTCACATTGTCTTCCGTATGCTGTCGTTCGCTAGCAATTAGTAGCGAACTGGCAAATCCTTCATCTTCACTGTCGTTGTAATCCCTTCTATGTTTCGGTCGCGATCTGAAATTATCACCAGAATCTCTTTTGAAATCGTTCTCGATTCCGGAGTCTACGAATCGTTCTCTTCTATCGTTTTCTTCTAGATAATCTGATCTGTAATTCGACGAGGCTGTTCTCCTTTCAACGTTTTCTCTTTTGAGGGAATCTTGTTGAGATCTGTAGTAAATATCCGGCGTTGATTTGTGGAATGTTGAATTTTCATCCCGCGTGTAACCGTGACTAGTTTCGTATCTGTATTCTGGAGACGAGCTGATATGAGAGTCGAAGCTTTTGGGTTCGCTGTCGAATCCGTTGGTTTTCAGCCTGTTTTCGTAGTCTAGTTGGTCGTTGTATTCTCCAAAATATTGCATTGATCTTGATTCTTTAGATTGAGATTGTCCGTATTTGTCTGATTTGTCTGGACTAGAGGATCGATTTTTGTAATACTTAGAGGTAGATTCAGATACGTATACGTTTGTGGGGTAAGAGTTTTTTAAATACTCAGGGGATGTTCGTAAAGAATTATCGTTTACTCTACGATTTATCCTAGATTCCAATTGGTCCCTTCTAGCAGACAAATCAGTTCTTCCGTTAAATAAATTATTTTCGTGTGGTTCTGTAAGACTTTCTCTTCGTTTACAGTCCATGCCATCGCCTCGACCTCTTGCTGAAGAATCTACGTATCTAGTATGTGAACGTTCTTTTCTCTCATAACTGCTGTAACCATTGTGGTGACTTTGGTTTCTAAATTTTGGAGTAATAGGACTTTCTTCATCAAATTTATCAACTTCGTCGATACCGTTTTGAAAATGTGTTACAGATTTGAATCCTAAATGTTCTTCCCCTCCTAAACCTTCGTCGGAATCTGATTGCGAATGTTTTTTACTCGTGTTGTAGGCGGTATGGACAGTTTGTTTTGAGGAAGTGTTACCATTTGCTCCACATACAACTTGAGCGTATATAATAGGGCTACCGGGGGTAGGAGATGATTCGTTTGACATATATTTCTCAGGGCTCAAACCTCTTGTATAAGAAAATGGTTGGTTGTTATTGTGTTGTACAGATATATGCGGTGTTATCATTACTTGCGTCTTCAAAGGAGGAGGCGATGTTGATTCATAGCTCAACCTCTTTACCATATTATTAACCATTCGACCCTTTGTTAAAGGCAGTTTTTCTGCCGGCATTTGGCTGCTATGAATCATTTTGGGCGGGTTTTTCGGTTGCGACAAGTGTTCAATAGTTTCCTTAATTTTAGGTCCAGCAATTGAATCCACTTGTTCTGGGTTATCTATGTGATCTTCTTTACCAGGGGGTGGGATTTCTTTAGCTTTGTTTTTAGATTTTTTATTTTTGTTAGCTTCATTTGTATTTTTCTTTTTGTGAGTTATGAATTTTAACTTCCTGCCTAAAAGGGAGTTTTTAAATTTTTTAGCTTTAGTTGAGATTTGTTCAGCTGTATCAACATCGATTATTATAGGTTGAGGGGGTTTTTTCTCTTCAGGAAGTGGTGGTCTTATGCCTGTTTCTTTGTAAAGCTCTTCGTCTACTTCGTCGATAAATTTTTTTAACTGCGCTGTTATACTATCTTTCTGCTTCTTTCTCACGAAAGATGTAGGTTCGATGTTTTCTTTATTTTTATCGTTATGATCAAATTCTGGCGCTGAAAAGTAATCTTCCCTTTGTGTTACTTCTATAATGGGTGAGAGTTGTTTTTTCTGGTTTCTTCGCTTTACAAATTCCTCACTATCACTTCCTGATCTTGATCGGAATTTTTGATCAACTTTTGAACTGTAATTAGAAGCATCACTAGCGCTGCGTCGTAAATTTGATTTTTTTAAAGATGCTGTTTTATCTTTTTTAAATATATCAAATATGGAGGATTTTTGTGCGTTTGTTGAAGCGAAAGTACGCGGTGGTTTTTTAGGTGGTAAATGTTCTAAAGAATTATTTCGTTTGACTCTACGTTCAAGCGATCCTGAGAAGTATTCTTTTTTCTTTTTTCGATGAGGTAAAGTATAAAATCTTTCTGGAGAGACACCTGAAAAAAAAATTGTAATTAGTTTTCTATAATGAAATTTACAATAGAGATAAGTACCGCAGGGTCAAATATTATTACATTAGAATCAATTAATTATAAATATAAGTAAGAATTACGTGCACCATCAACATTCCTTTGAAATATCTTCAATATCGCATTCAACTGTAACGATGTGCACATTAAATGTCCTACTTCATTAAAACGTTTATTATGGGATTATTAATATAAGATATCAGAAGAAATATTGGTCATTTGGGTATAATTATCTGTACAACGATTACGAAAACGGTTAACCATCTAAACAGTTGGTTTAAGTTTAAATGGTCGGAATTATAAAACGTTTATTTAGGAACATTGGAAGTATTATCACATATTAATACTTAATATTTTATATTTACGGTCTTTTGTTGTATATGGGAAGTTCTCATATTATATAGTAGGATAAACTGCAAGATTTTGTCGGTTTGAGTTGCCGAAACAAGTGGAAACAATTAAGGAAATTCAGGAATAAATTGCTGAACCTGTAACGGTGAAAACAAACTAAACAAATGTGGAAAATTCAATTTAAAAAAATTCCGCTACGAACAGGATTTAGCTTTCCATCCCAACATTTTAACCGTTAAACCATGGAGGAACATTTTTCCATTTTAATTCTACAATTTTCCTCCAGTTTGTTTTCATGAATTTATTCTTGTATTTCCTGAATTTTCTTAATTATTGTTTCACTTGTTTAGGCACTTAAAATCGTCAGAATCTTCTAGTTATTTATCTGAAATAAACATTTTTATCTTGCCCTTTAAATTCACACTTTTCCGGTTTTTCTAATTTACAAATTTATTTTTATTTTCCCATTTTAAATTTAAAAATTATTTATTACTGTTTGTAACTAGAAATCCATAAAATTTTTGTAAATTTAAATTTTGAATCTTTTTTGATAAATTGTATACAGGGTGTTATTGAAATACACGTACATATTAAAATGGGGAATAGTATGTAATGACCAAAAACGATTGGCACCAATTTTAACTTCAAATTCTAAAATTTAAATATTGGGGAAGAGTCCCCTTTTCCGACCTACTAGTTTCCATATTTAAAGAAGTAAAATAAATCGAAATTGAACTTACCCATAGAAATTGCACTGTTGCCGTAGCAAAACCAATTAATTCAAAATAAAGTTTATTACAGTAATTGTTCAAAATGCCGTCCATTATTATTTACACACACTTGCAATGGTCTTTCCAAAGAACTTTGAACATTAGAAATTAGTCTTGGATTTTGTCGTAGTTCCTCAGCTACCGCATTAACTTTATTGGTTAATTGTTCAACACTATTAATAGGTTCATTATAAACCAGTTGTTTCATGTGACCCCACAAAAAGAAATCGCATGGATTTAAGTCCGGAGATCTCGGAGGCCACTTAGTAGGTCCATTTCTGCCTATCCACTTTTGAGGAAATCTAATGTTCAAAAACTGCCGTACGTTTAAATCAAAGTGAGGAGGAGCGCCATCTAGTAGGTACCACATCCGTTGCCTTAATTGTAACGGTATCTCTTCTAGGAGTACTGGCAAAATATCTTCTAAAAAGTGGAGATATCCTGGCCCATTTAATCTGTTCGGGAGAACATAAGGCCCGATTAAATACTGATCTATTATGCCAGCCCAAACATTTATTGAAAATTTTCTTTGATGCCCAGTTTCCCTAATGGCGTGAGGATTTTCATCACTCCAAATATGCGTATTGTGCATATTGAACACGCCATCACGAGTGAATGAAGCCTCGTCAGTATACAATAATATTTTTAGAAAATCAGGAATATCAACACATTTTTGAATCATCCATTCACAAAACTCCACTCTCTTTTATTCATCACCTGGATATAAGGCCTGGACTTTTTGGATGTGATAAGGATGTAAACCTTGTTCTTTAAGTGTCCGCCACACAACAAATGAGGACACTCCAATTTCAAGACCTAGTCTTCTACAACTTAATTGAGGCCGGTTTTCAACAGCTTCCAATATTTCTTCTTCGGCCGCCAATGTTCTTTGTGTTCTTGTTCTCCCTCGATCTGCATTGACACTCTCAAATTTTCCATGGTCTCTTAGATGCTGAACAGTTGAAATAAACGTACGACAGTCCGGAATTCTCCGATTTGGAAACCGTTCGCGATACAGGATTTGTGCTTGCCGAGAATTTTCTCCAGCTGCCCCATAAACCAGCACTATATCCGTTAGTTCAATATTCGTAAATAGTGGCATCGTAAAAAAATATTTAAAAGTAATCGTAACAACACTTTTTACCAACTTGGAAATGACGCGCTCGTGTTAGCCAGATTCGTAAATCAACTAAAATTTTAATAATTAGCCCAATCGGATTAGGTGAAGAACAGGCTTGAGATTCTGAAAAATTCGAAGCAGCAATTTTCCTTCGGAATTCGTTGGAGGGGGTCTCTGGTAGTCTAAATTCAAAAAGTTGGGATTCCAAAGTTGTCGTTACCTCCGCCATCTTGATTTAAAGGGTTATTTTTTGTATCTTGAATAACTCATTTATTTTCAATTTTACACGAAAAATAGTTTTTACAAAAGTTATTTAAAATTAAATTTCCTACAATTCTGCTTTTTTTTTGTACGATCGATTTTTTTCGATTTTTGGTTATAGAATAACTCGTTTATTTTCAATTTTACGAGAAAAATTGTTATAAACAAAGTTGTTTAAAATTAAATTTCCTACAATTCTGCTTTTTTTTTGTACGATCGATTTTTTCGATTTATACCCGAAAAGAGGGGGGTGAATTTTTGGTTATAGAATAACTCGTTTATTTTCAATTTTACGAGAAAAATTGTTATAAACAAAGTTGTTTAAAATTAAATTTCCTACAATTCTGCTTTTTTTTTTGTACGATCGATTTTTTTCGATTTATACCCGAAAAGAGGGGGTGAATTTTAGGTTATAGAATAACTCGTTTATTTTCAATTTTACGAGAAAAATTGTTATAAATAAAGTTGTTTAAAATTAAATTTCCTACAATTCTGTTTTTTTTTGTACGCTCGTTTTTTTTGTATTTATCCCTGAGAAGAGTGAGGGTAAACTCTTAGAAAAAATCGGAATCATAATTGTACCAAATAACATTTTTGAAAATCAGCAAAAAAAAAACAAACAGAAAAAATAATGGTACAACATCAATAATAAACGTGACAATACAATACTTAGGTTCACCCCCACTCTTCTCAGGGATAAATACAAAAAAATCGATCGTACAAAAAAAAACAGAATTGTAGGAAATTTAATTTTAAACAACTTTGTTTATAACAATTTTTCTCGTAAAATTGAAAATAAACGAGTTATTCTATAACCAAATATTCACCCCCTCTTTTCCGGTATAAATCGAAAAAAATCGATCGTTCAAAAAAAAGCAGAATTGTAGGAAATTTAATTTTAAACAACTTTGTTTATAACAATTTTTCTCGTAAAATTGAAAATAAACGAGTTATTCTATAACCAAAAATTCACCCCCTCTTTTCGGGTATAAATCGAAAAAAATCGATCGTACAAAAAAAAGCAGAATTGTAGGAAATTTAATTTTAAATAACTTTTGTAAAAACTATTTTCCGTGTAAAATTGAAAATAAATGAGTTATTCAAGATATAAAAAATAACCCTTTAAATCAAGATGGCGGAGGTAACGACAACTTTGGAATCCCAACTTTTTGAATTTAGACTACCAGAGACCCCCTCCAACGAATTCCGAAGGAAAATTGCTGCTTCGAATTTTTCAGAATCTAAAATACTAATCCGATTGGGCTAAATCTATAGTTTCAAAAATGTATAGTTTAAAAACAATCATTTATCAAATATTCTAGTTTTTTGATAACGAGGGTAGTAAAAACCAGTCTTCGGAAATAGAAATTAATTCGAAAATCTTGGCAACATGGTTGTTTCTTACAAGACTAGTTTTCTTATCATCTGACAAAAACTTGCATATTAATTACTGTTGATGTTTAAAATAGGTAAATAAACCTAATTTATATAGGTCATCCTCAACATATCAGTGAAGTACGTTTGTTTTAGAATTAATTTTCAAAATTTAATAACTCCCTTAATAAGGGGTATTTTTAAAAAATAATATTTTTCTACATTCAGTGGGGATCTGCGCAATACCAAGTTTTAATATGTACGTGTATTTCAATAACACCCTGTATACCTCAAATATATTTATTGATATATTTATAAAGTCATTTGATAAATTAAATGAAGTCAAAAGGAGAAACTGTTTCGAATTTTTTTTTTAACAGACCAGATTGCATGGAGTAATGAGTGATCAACAGATAAATATTTCTAAAGTAGGTCATAAAAAATAACACATGTCGCCTGTAAATCTGTCAAAATTCGACATTATTCGGACACTTTTTTAAGACGAATAAGATAGCGTAATTGACATGTCCCAATCGTCTTCTGTAATCTCGCAATCCGCTTCAACTTTCATTTATCTTACTGAATTTTTGGATTTTTGGAAAGACCGAAAAAATTTCCAGTCTTGTGAGTGATACACGATAGATGACATTTTATTTGGCGTCTTGTTTTCGTGTTTAAAAAGATCGTCTGCAATTTTATTAGCAAAGAAGTGATAATCATGCCGAGAGATTGTATTGTTTGCAATATTAAACTCATAAAAGGTTCATAAGTGAGTATTCTATATTCCATAAACGCAACTTAAAATGATCAAATGGATAAGAAAGAATGTTTGTAGAATGTCCTACATTTGAGCATCACTGCAACTGGTTGCATACGACAGAAAATGATTGTTTGCTTTGCGATTATGCTTAATTTAAGTCTTGTTGGATTCAATCCATTAAATTACAATTGAAAATGTACAAAGACAATTGCAAATACGCCCTGAAGTGTTGCATTGAACTTGATGATTACATTAGCATCAAAATTCTTCTCCTTGTCTTCAGAACATACTTAATTTTCTATTTTTCAGTTGCTAATACAAATGTTTTTAA